CACACACACACACACACACACACACACACACAAACACACAAACACACAAACAAATCCAGAGACTTGAAGAAATGCAATCTTTGTTTGTTATTTTCGGGGCTGATTCAGATTATTAGTAATTAAGTAAAATCGTCTGCGCTGCACACAGTTCTATAATTATGCATTTGCATAAAACAAAATAAGACAGAGATTGTTACGAAAAGAGTAAAATCTTAAACTGGTGGGACAAATGGGACTGTAGGCCTATTTTATTTTGTTAACAACAGCTATGATGTGTAAAAACTCAATTCTATATTTTATGCTACTATAAGCGTGTATATAAATTAACTCCTTTTCACAGACACTAATTTTAATCTTGTTGATTAAGAAACAAAATTCAAAATGTACACCCCTTCGTACAAAAATGTTCTGCTTTATTGAAAATTCCCAAGAGCCACAGTCTCTGTGATACTTAAATTTCTGTCCCAGACAACAATTGCAAGAGGGTAACTCAAATCGACAGTGTTCAATCCATAGGTGTGGCTGGAGTACATTACCACATTCTCCCATAAACCTGGTTTGCACCTTAAACACACACAAAATCAATATACTGCACTAGCTGATCACTTCTAATGCTGCTCATAAACTGCTTTTCTTAGGTTAGGTGTTTGCATTACTCTGATTCACTGTGCATTGCTCCATTTCAAATCATACCAACAATGAAGATTTTAAAAAATCTACAACTCTTGATAAATGGAGTCAGCATACAACCTCCAACTAATGGCCAAGCCACTCTACCAAATAGTTGAACGCCATCTAACAAACAGGAAAGAAAGTTTAGCAATTCTCGACATGTTTTACAGCTACAGTGTATAGAATTTATCAGTGATGAAATTGCATGTTGCAGCTGAATACCCCTCACCTCACCCTCCCCTTCCAAACATCAAAAATAACCTGTGGTAGCCTTCAGTTGTTTTAAAAAAATCAAAAGGTGTTTAGTTTGTCCAGTCTGGACTACTGTAAAAAACATGGCGGCCCCTTAGAGAGGACCCCCCCTCCATGTAAATATAAAGTATTTAAATATGAAAAGAGAAACATGAAAAATACAATTCATACAATTTAGATGAAAGGAACTAATGAATACATCAGCAGGATTATTTTACATAAAATTTCTGCCAATAGATCCTTTTCACCTAAATCTTACACACTGGACCTTTAACTCCAATAGTGATGTCCCTCAAGAGTCAAAACTGGGCTCTCTCTTTTTCAGCTTGTATATTAATGACCTGCATTTAGTCTGTCCATCAGTTAATATACAAACATATTTAGATGGCCTACATTTTCAGATAATTTTTAACTTTGATATAGGAGTTCAGCATATTGGACCCAAAACTACACAAAAAACACGAGATCATTAGATAGAAATTTGTGTTTTTTTAAATATAAAAACCACAAACATGCTTAACGTAGCAAAAGTAAAATACAGGTTGGAAATGGGAAAACTCAATCATAAAGAAATAATACACAATACCTGTGATCATAGGCGTATATTTAAAATTTGCAGCCAGGAAACTATTAGAAAAGCTTACCTCCCTAACTCTTAACTCCCAAAGAGTAACTTCTGCACATGCAACATAAAACGGTCACACTGAGACTACTGAATCGACCATTGAATACTAATGGTGTGCACTGAGAATTGCGTGCAGAATAACACGCATTCTTCATTTAGTATGAGTGCGGAAAATATTGGGAGGAGTAGATGCAAATTCTTAAATATACATGCATTGTGATTTACAAAGCCTGAATATACAGCAATTGCAGTGGCTGTGACTGCGTCTATATTCAATACATTTGAAAGGTGCTTATGGCACAGCGTTATGCACAGATGGCTGCAGTTATTGTGGTGAGGAGGAGACATCATGGAAAAAGACGCAAAGAACAGTTTTTTTCAGGAAGTAAACTGCACCTGCTGCTCAATATTGGTCAGAGGCATCTCTTCCCGCCCCCTACCTTTTTTATTTTCTAGAGGTTTTACTGTGAGCAATTTTTTCTTTTTTTCTTCTTATGTCCTGCCCATTCTCTTAATTTCATCGGTTGTTCTTTTCGTTTTACACACAGCATTTACTTTCTCGCAGATACTCTCCCATATCGTGTTTCTTTGAATTATATTAATATTTCTTTGCTGTAGTTCAACAACATGTTCATTTGCCTCTTCCACTCATTTGCCTCTTCCACTAACACCTCCTTCTTCTTTGCACTTGAGGTCACTCTGCTCTTCCTAATGCTCTATGGCAAAAACCATTTAAATACTACTGCCTCTACCATGTTTGCACCTGGTATCACTTACGCAATTATTTATAGTAGATGAGCCGCAAATGCCCATCAACCAAATATGCAATCTATTATAATGCACATGCAATTTAGCACTCTTTATTTGGGATCTTTGTAGATCAGGCCCAAAGTGCTATATTTCTTGCTTTATATACCCCAACATGTGCAAACATAACAAAGTTAAAATCGACACAAACTCAAACTACAACTATTTATGATAAAATCAAGCATGGCCGTGGGATTTTATTTCATTTTCTTCTTTTTAGCAATGCCACTTCTTAAATCAGTTTCTGACAACAGTGAGGCAGAGGGTTACATCAAAGGATTTACATTTTCATCAAATCAAATCAAATCAAATTTTATTTGTATAGCCCAAATTCACAAAACACATTTTGCCTCAGAGGGCTTTACAATCTGTACAGGTAGTGACACCCTCTGTCCTTAGACCCTCGGTTCGAGTGAGGAAAAACTTGCCCACAAAAAACCCTTTTAACAGGGAAAAGAAGGTGGAAGAAACCTCAGGGAGAGCCACAGAGGAGGGATCCCTCTCCCAGGACGGACAGAACAAAGCAACAGAAACATATTGTACAATTACAATGAAAAACAATGATTACAGTCATTGGTGGTAATATGTAACAATGCCCCCTGTAGTCTTATCCTATAGCAGCATAACTAAGGGCTGACCTGAGCCAGCCCTAACTATAAGCTCTATCACAGAGGAAAGTCTTAAGTCTACTCTTAAAAGTGTTAACCATGTCTGCATCCCGAACCCAAAATGGTTGTTTGTTCCACAGAAGAGGAGCTTGATAACTGAAAGCTCTGGCTCCCAATCTACTTTTGGAGACTATGGGAACCACAAGGAACCCAGCATTCTGAGAGCTTAGTGTTCTGGAGGGGTAGTAGGGTACTATGAGCTCTTTAAGATATGATGGTGCTTGCCCATGAAGAGCTTTGTATGTAAGGAGGATAAGTTTAAATTCTATTCTGGATTTAACCGGTAGCCAATGTAAAGAAGCCAAAATGGGAGAGATGTGATCTCTGATCTTGGTTCCTGTTAGAACACGTGCAGCAGCATTCTGAATTAAGCCTAGTTTATGCTTCTGCGTCACATCGCCATGCCGCTAGGGGGGTGTGGCTGTGTGTTTGTGTGGTTATAGCCGAATCCTTGCTTTTTCTTCCGTAAAGTAAACAACAGTAAACAATGGCGACCGAGGTGGAGCAGCTGTATTTGGAGTTGGAGCTCATCAATATTGAAGAACAAATGCTTATATTGCAAATGTTGAAGCGCAGGCGACAGAGAAGACGTTTGCAGAGGTCGTTTTTACGACGAGGAAGAAAGACCCGAAAAAAGCAACTGCCGGAACTTACGTTCAGAGCAGACCAATCACAGCGCTTGCAGTTCCAAGTCAACGCGACGTGTAGTTAGGATTTTTTGGAGGTGCGCGTCAGGCTACGGCGTAGGGGTCCGCGTCGACGGCGTAGCTAAGGCGTCGACACGACGGAGAAGCATAAACAAGGCTTTAGCTGCAAAGTCCTAAGAGACTTATTGGAGCAACCTGATAACAAAGAGTTGCAATAGTCCAGCCTTGAAGTAACAAATGCGTGGACTAGTTTTTCTGCATCTGCTTGAGATACAATGCGTCTAATTTTGGCGATGTTACGTAAGTGGAAGAAAGCAGTCTTTGAAATTTGTTTTATATGGACATTAAAAGACAGATCCTGATCAAAAACAACTCCGAGATTCTTAATGGTGGAGCTGGAGGCGAGGGTGATCCCGTCTAAAGTAACTAAGTCTCTAGAAAGAGAGTTTCTGAGGTTTTTGGGTCCAATTACAAGAACTTCAGTCTTGTCTGAATTTAGCATCAGAAAATTGGAGGTCATCCAACTTTCTATATCCTTAAGACATTCTTGAAGTTTAATTAACTGATTGGTTTCATCAGGCTTGATCGATAAGTATAATTGGCTGTCATCAGCATAAAAATTTAAATTAATGGAGTGATTTCTAATAATGTTCCCTAAAGGAATCATATATAAACTGAATAGAAGTGGTCCTAACACAGAACCTTGTGGGACTCCGTGACAAACTTTGGTATGTACAGAGGATTCATCATTGATATGAACAAACTGGGATCGATCTAATAAAATAGGACTGAAACCAGCTTAAGGCGGTTCCTTTGATGCCAATATGATGTTCCAGTCTTTGTAAAAGAATTTGATGGTCAATGGTGTC